CTATTAAAACTCTGGGCCAACAAGTGACATCGATTGATATAGATATTATAAGCGTCTATTTAGGGATTTTGAGTGACATTTTGAGATTGTGAGATTTGAGATTTTTAAAAATTTTTAAATTTAGCAAGAATCCTACGAATTTGTAAGTTTGGAGGTGAGATTGAATTATATATCGTTTGTTCTTTTGAAACCGAAGTGAATCTTAAAAAATCATAACAAATGTCAGTTTGAAATAAGTTAAATACCTCACGATTTTGTAAAACTTTTTAAAATTTCAAATGAATACCTCGAGACTTTTAAAAGTTTTAAAGATTTGTGAAATCTTACAAAGTCTTTAAGAATCTCAAACGAATACACTGTGCTTCAAATGTCACTACACATATATCTTCCTCTTATATAATAAGGGAGAGTTTTGCTTAATTTTTTATTCCTCACACATTGATGCTGGTATTGACACGTTGCCTTCAGTTTACCTTGCTAATTTATTAGTACCTTATGCATTTGGTTTTTCTATTTTATACAAGAATCATTAACCTTGCTAATTTATTAGATGTGATTAGTCAAACCAAATAATTTTTTTTTATAGTTAATTTGGTGTCATCTTAGACCCATTATTGAAGTCACATGACTCCAAATAAGCCAACCTTAGCACTTGATATCCGGTCTTAGTATTATGCTATGAAATTTAATTTAATATTTCTTCTCCAAGCAACTTGGTAGGTATGTGCATGCAAATGGCTGAAACTTCTTTAATTGCAAATATTTTATTATGACGTCTCATCTAATGATCATTTATGCCCAATTACTATTATCCTCATTAATGATATATCATTATATTTTGATTACTTAAGAAAATCAGTTACTTTCGTGGCATTGTATATCACACGGCATTTCCCTTAATGGCTTATACAAAAAAATAAAAATAAAAATCAGATTTTTGTATAGCTAAATCACGCTATTTTGTGTACGACATGTAATAATCTTACTTAATATTTTTCTCCTTCAACAAGTAAGTATTTTAAATTTTTATTATTTTCATTGATGGTGAGAGTTTGGTTAGGTGTTGATTAAAAAAAATTTCACCTGAAATCTTTAGCCATATTTCTCACGCATGGTATACCCAATAGTAGTTAAGAAGATGTTTTAGCTGTCCACGCATAAAATAGGTGCCATTGCTTTCAAATTTCAAACACCTTAACTTCCTCTATTTAAATACTCAATCACTGAGCCATATCTTCCTTAATTTTATTCATCTATAAAAACTTAGAAAAACATATATTTTCATAGCACAAAATACACCCGCAACATCTTTGTCTACAAGGCTACAACCGAGGTTTTGTCTTCCATTTCTTTTCTAAGTCTTGAAGAAGGTAAGAAGCTATTTTTTTAACATGCTTTATAGATAATTTAAATAGCATTAATATGTGTTATAATATGCTAAAGTTCCAGCCTTTAAGTATTTATAATCATGTCAAGAAGTAAGAAGTTGTGTAAGCTTGCATGCATGATTGTTATGTGCTGTTTGATTTCAAATTTAAGCATGCTATGTATAACCTGGTATGTTAAGTTTATTATGTTTATTTCTTGTGTAAGTGATGAGTATATAGGTGAAAGAATCGTCTCATTTGGTTAAGTATAGCTCGAGTTATATATTTTTAAAATTTATCATGCAAATTGAGTTTTTATGCCAAGTTTTAAGCCTAATATTGTTAATCAAATACTCTCCATTAACAATGACATTTCAAACTATGTTTTATGTTAATTTATTTCAGGTGATTATATAAAAGGATAAGTTAAATACAATTATTAACAGAACTGAGGTCCAAGTTGGTGTAATAAAGTATATTTTTTATACATTTTAATTGAATTTAATTAAATTTATTCTTTTAACTTTTCAGATAATTCATTTTTCAATGCTTATTAAGTTATATTTATTTCCAGGTCATTATATAAGGAGTGGGTGGATCTCATTTTGTGGGTGCCTAGGTACACTTGATCTGTACTTGTGAAAACAAAGGTGCATCTTTTTTAAATATTTTTTTTCCATTATATGTCCTACAAATTTTGTTTTTAATTTAAACCTATTTGATGAATTTCATATTCTTTACTCTATTTCTGAATTTTTTTCTCTTATTAAATAACTTTAATCTCTATAATGACTACAATATTTCTTAAACTGATGAAATCGTCAATGATCATTGTCTGTTCAGGCCTACAAACTATCAAACATATGCCCTTTTACTGAAAATACAATAGAAGAAAAATATCGAGAAAGTGCAATTGGTAGATGGAGACAAAAAAGAAAGCGCAACTTTAGTCATTCTACACATCGAAATAATAGGAATGTTCAATTATTAACAACAAACAATGATGAAAATTTCATACAAAATATATGTATGAGAAAAAAAAAATTGCGTCAATAAATAATAGGTCAGAGGTAAAAGTGACGAATACTGAAATAGCTACAAATGATATGTATGATACCATAGTTGTTGGTTCAAGTGATCAAAATATATTAAGTCCAACACAAACTAAAAGCCAGTTTATATGGTGTTTTCAAACTAGAAAAGTTATTAATACAATGTCTCATATAGCTCATTACTTTAGATGTTTTCAATCTTGGTGAAACTTCTGTTGAAAATAATTCCACCACAGAAGAAAACTTAGGTAAAAAACTTTTACAATGAATATTAGTAAATAATTAATTGTTGGAGAAAGATATAATTATTTTAAAACAAACTGCAGGAAGTTCGAAGAAACCTAAGATTAAGCATAAAGGTAAAAATATTTTTTGATATATTTATGCATGAAATTGTCTATATATATAACCTATGTTACAAACATTATCGATATTTACATGACCATTTTTTTAAAAATTAGGTGTTATTCTGAAAGAATGTCAGAAATTACTAAATTTTATACCAACAGAGGCCGATCTATTGGATGACCAACCTAATTGTTTGTTCTGCGGCGGAAAAAAAATAATGCATGAATCTTCATTTATGTGTTGTGGCAATGGCAGCATCATATTAGCAAGTAATTCGATACCAAAAATGCTAAAAGATCTTTTACCACAAAATACAGAGGAATCTAAAATATTTAGGACATATATTAGAACTATAAATAACTTGTTTGCTTTCACTTCTTTGGGAGTTAAAGATGATAAACATTTATCAAAGAGAAATAAAGGTATTATACATTCAGAGTGCAAGGACAAGTTTATCATTTTATAAATAATTTGCCAGATTCAAAGAATTTCCAGCTATATTTTTATGATACAGACAATTTTATCTCATGGCCAATTTTGTAAAAGAAATATATGTATGCACTAAAATTTTAACTAAGTAACCCAGAAATATTTTAAGTTCATATTCATGATTAATTAAATTTTAATGAATGATATAATTAACAAATATTATATCAATATTGTGTTTTTATAACATAAAAAAAAATTCCAATGGCTATTTATCAATCTATATATATAATACTTCACTTCATACATTACCGCTCATTCCAAAATATTACAATATATTCTCATCTAGAAAAAAAAAATGTTTCATCTATTATTTATAGTTACCATTATATTAGTTACTATATATGCTTTAGGAATTTTCACGATGTTGTATCATACTGCTGAATTTATATTTTATATATTAGGTCTTTTTCTAATGTGTTTCTTATTAGCTGTTCTGATCGGTTTGAATAATGTATGATTGTATTTGTAATTTTTTTAAAAGCATTGATGTTATATTTATTTGTCATTGTCTGATCGGTTTGAATAATGTCATTGTCTTGGATATGAATTCACCTAGTAAAAAACTGGTTATTTTTTAACTATAGTTAAGTTTGAAAAAAGGTGGTATGGTTAGTTGTTAGTGGATATATTAAAATAATGTTTAAAGTAAAATAATTAAAGTTGATTTGATGTAAAAGTAGGAGAAAATGATTGGAAGTGATAGTTAGTTAAAATTATGTGAGTAGATGAATAGTGAATTAAAGTTGATGTGATGTGTAAGAATGATTTGGTGATATTATTTAATTATATTAATAATATTGGAGATAGTGGAGTTGAGTTAAAGTTGAGTTAAATTTGAGTTTTGATTGGATTTTTTACTGTAGAAATGATAGACAATCGCCCCCTAAGAAATCCTTTATTTTTCCTTACTATTTCAACGGCATTTGCTCTTGTTTTAACTTAAGAGATGCACATTAAACATCTCATCTTATTTTAACACGGAACTTCCAACCACGATTTGTTGGGGACACTTACCACATATGAAAAAGCCATTACTTATGGGCCGGCTGTGGTCCCACAGTCGTTACCTTCCTAGTACTATTGACAAACATTAGATGTGGCAATTTGATTAAACAAAGGAACCAAAATATAAAAGGTGACACTATTTTTAATAGGACGTAGTATGTGTACTCATAAACTGGTGCAGATTAGTATTTATTATTATTATTATTATTATTATCATTATTATTATTATTATTATTATTATTATTATTATCCCTTATTTATCTTATTGAATTAGGTAGGAGAATCTTTATTTTGATTAAGAGAATATTTATTTCTTGTTAATCAAGTTAGGAGATTTAGGAGACTTGGAACTCTATTTATTCTCATGGTTGAAGGAAACGATGGGGTGAATGTTTTTTAGAGAAATAAATCTGTTATTGTGAGTTTTATCGAGAGAGTATCTCGTTTATGTTTCTCACTCGTACGCTTCCCTACATCAGTTGGTATCAAAAGTCAGCACGATTCAAGATGCCGCCACGGAAGGACGACATTGACGGGCTGACGCCACAATTGAGTATTCGGGTCGACAAGCCATGAGCTTCGGCCGCCAGATCAATCAATTTGATTGCCGGGTTGAGAATCTTTCGTCAGGGATCAAAGAAGTGCGTCTTACAATCAACAACATGATTGAGAATTTGCAGACGAACCGTGACGCCGACAACCGGTGCGTGCGTGGAGGAGTTCACGGAGGACGTGGAGGCCGTGGTCCAGGCAGGGCGCCCCCTGGAGATCTCCACAACCACCGTCCGGCAATGAGGACGGCGAGGAGACAATCTCGGAGGTGAATCCCTTCGGCGATTATCCACCCCCGCACGTCAAGCCTGATCCCTTCGCTGCATACAGCGGCCGTGACATGTGGCGACAGAGCCCGGTCTTTGTGGACGGTGACGATCAATGCGATGACAGAGGCAGGCTCGAGGAGGCTACCATCGCCGGTGGATAACGTGCTCGACGCGATTGGGAATGTGATCGAGAATATGGTCGATGGGAGGGCCCGTTTCGCGTTGACATCCCCAAATTCGATGAAGAGAAAGTTGACGGGCCATTGTACGATGGTCCACCGGTGTTTGATGAAGGACCCGAGGAGGTGGAGGAGCGTCTTACCAGTGAAGTGGACGGTCTCTACGACGGTCCTTCGATTTTCGATGAGGAGCCTCCGAGGCCGGAGGAATTCCATCATGTTCCAGGTATCGAAATTCAGCTGTTGGAAGAATTGGTAGGTCTTCTGTTCCGAGCTTTTCTCCCACGAGAATTTGTTGCGGCCTTGCAAACAGATGTTGTTTTTTGGTCCCCACGGTGACTTCAAAATTCTGTGTGTGGCAGCTGCATATATGTCTTTCCATGAATTTCAAGGGGGTGATGATACAATGAAGGTGCAACATTCAACATTTGTGTTCGACAGGGAAAAACGATGCGGATTAATACCATGGGTTCGCCTCCACACACCAGCCACGGGAGCCCGTCGGCTTTGAGGGCAAAGCCTTCCGAACCGGGAGAGAATGGTGTAGATTAGTATCTATTGCTATTATTATTATTATTATTATTATTATTATTATTATTATTATTATTATTATTATTATCCTTATTTCTTATTTATTTAATTGAATTGGTTAGTAGAATTAGGAGAATATTTATTTCTTGTTTATCAAGTTAGAAGATTTAGGAGACATGGAACTCTATTTATTCTCATGGTTGAAGGAAACGATGGGGTGAATGTTTTTGAAAGAAATAAATCTGTTATTGTGAGTTTTATCGAGAGAGTATCTCGTTTATCTTTCTCACTCGTACGCTTCCCTACATCATAAACCGTGTGTGACTTAGATCGTTATATTTAGGGTTGACAATATTTTTTTTTCAAAAATCCAATCAAACCAAACCAACTTGAACCAACACAGAGCAAGTCGAACCAAATCTAAAAAATTGGTTACAAAGTTTCGGCTAGTGACACTGTTTCCATTCGATTTCGATATTGGATTTTCCATGCGTTTTAACCAATCCGAACCGAAAATTATAATAAGTCTTTTATTTTCATGTTAGGCCCAACCCAATTCGTTAGAACCTATGTAGATTAGTTTCTATTATTATTATTATTATTATTATTTAATAGGTGTCTTAGAGAATAAGGTAGGAATTTGATATTATTGTTTAATATTTAGGAAGAGATCTTGTCATGTTGGACAAGTTAAGGTCTAGTGTTAGGAGCCTTATATAAACAACTCCCTCTAGTTTATTTTCTTTGGTCGATTACGAATTATTAAATGAAATGATGATTTGATATCATGTTTAGATGTTTTTTAGATTGAGATCTCATTATTATCGTCTCACTCGTACGCTTTCCTACATCAGTTGGTATCAGCAGTTAGTATGATTCGCGATGCCGCTGGGACGACAAGATGCCGCAAATGAACGACGTGACGCAACCTTCAACGATCGGTTTCAACAAATCGACTACCGATTTCAACAATTGGATGTGTGTTTCACGGA